GTTTATGCCACTTCTTGGTGCTTCCCGCGTTTATAATTCTCCCATAAGAGGAAGAATCATATTAAGCAATGATGTGATTGATGTTTTGTGCCCATTGGGCGTTGACAGAAGATAATAGGCTGTAGGCCATGCGAGCTGCTTTTTTGAGAAGCGGAATCCAGCTCTCCCATGCATATCCTTTGATTGGCGGAGCGCCAGAGGTGGAAGTAGTCTTCCGCATTGGATCAGGAGTGGCAGCCGCAGATGTCAATGGGAGAGCGCCCTTAGAGCAAGCGACACTAGAGCGCACGTCACGAGAGCGCACCACATTTGAGCGCACCACATTTGAGCGAACACCGCAAAATGTGTGATGTACCCGGGGCTCCACAGACAGAACCAAATTGTGCGAATCATCAAATCGGAGCATTGGTGATTTTTGATTGATTTAATAGGCCTTTAATATGAAATAAGAATAAAAGGGGTACGACTCTTTCTAACCAATTGATTACTTACATCGGCGAGAAAAGGGGGCAGGGGAGTGGGCTGGGACATATATGTACCGGGAATGTCAGTAGTTGAGTGGAGCAGCGAGTCTAAAATTTCTTCAGAGTGCTGGGGTGCGCCTCTCGGATATACTATAAATAGTTCACTTCTTCCTATATGTGGTCTATTCTCTACACGCATTTGGGCTCCGATCTATTTGGTGACTATTTAGACGTCCCTCGTATAGGTTTAAATGGTACTCTGGCGTCCATGTGGCTAATGAAGAAAGCTCACCGCTAAAAAAGTATCAGTAAAAAACTCATCGAAGGAAAGCTCAGCGCAATTTTATCGCATGCATATCTTTCCAGTCTTTTGACAGATACAGGAAAACCTCCCCTGCAAATTTGTGATCCAAGAACTAAAGAAGCTAGGTCAGCTGCAATGTTTTTTTCTGCGAAAATACATATTACAAATATATATATATATATATATATATATATATATATATATATATATATATATATATATATATATATATATATTTTTTTTTTTTTTTTTTTTTTTCTGTCAGTTGTTTGCAACTTTTCTTGGTTTGTCACATGCAAAGTTTCGTCGACTCATTTCGCAATGTCATTGCTGAATTCCGTGGCATAAATCCCTGCCCCTTTTACATAAAACACGCGATGCCCGAACAAATGGTCGGTCCGGTTACTCGCGCTGGGCTGGTTGTGCGCTCTCGTGACGGGCGCTCTAACCGCCCATTCACACTGGAAGCGGATCCGCGTTCGCAAAGCGGTTGCAAACGCGGTTGTAGAAAGATCCAGAGTGCGCGTGCAATTGTACTGGACCTTTATACAACCGCGTTCGCAACCGCTTTGCGAACGCGGATTCGCTTCCAGTGGGAATGAGCGGTAAGGACACGCGAGCTAAATGTCGCTGCGTCTCGAGTCGCGCGCGCTAACGTCGTGGCGCTCACCTGTCGGCGCTCTACTGCCGGCGCTCTTGTGTCGTGCGCTCTAGTCTTATACAGCCGACGTCGACGGCCTTTCCTTTTCTCCCTTGGGTTCTGAAACTTGTATTTTGCGGTCATTTGTGGGAGGGGCCCCCTTCGTGAGCTCCTGTTGCTTCTTCTTTAAAGCTGCAGCATAGCCAAGGGCGCTTGGGTTCTGCTTGTTAGATGTCCCATTTATTGTGTTCTGTGACTGTAGAGGTCGTTGTTCAATTTCAGCCGTTTGTTTTGTTTCCCTCTGTTGTGAGACGGCGGACCTTGCGGCGCGAAAGTCAACCGCGTGTTTGCGTGCGTAGCTGCGGGTCTCACTTTCTCTCTGCCATTTTGGGCAGGAAGAGGACGTGGCAGCGTGAGCTCGACTGCAGTTCGCGCATTTTTCTTGACCAGAACACGTGTCGTTGGCGTCGTGGGCTTCTCCACAGCGACTGCAGATGGGTGAGCGCTTGCAGTTGGCTTCGCGATGTCCATATTCACAACATTTGCGGCACTGAATTGGGCGTTCCTTGAACGGGGACACCGGATGGCGAACGTGACCGAGATAAACAAAACTCGACAACGTTGTTTCGCTGAACGCTATCTTTACCATGGAACTTTTTCCAAGCCGTTGAATTCTCGCCACTCGGCCTTCTGGTGATCTTACTTGTTGTCCAATTTCGGCATCAGAAAGTGAAGTGTCGACGTCTTTGATCACTCGTACTCCGCAAGTGCCGCAGAACGGGCTCGTACGCCCGAACTTTCAAGCCGCAGATCTGAGTGCAGGCAAGGAGCGCACGGGTCGTCTGGTCATTTTGAGTATCCACTGCGATCAGATTTAATCTGCTGTTGGGCCTAATCTCGTGGATGCATTCGGGACACATGTTTCAATGCAACAGGCAGTTTTAAACTGCTGATCGCTGTGATTTTCTGGTTTTCAACCACTGGTACGAAAATTACAGTCAGACCAACTGTCGTGGTAAGCGAGTTCGTAACTGTGTCTCCGATTTCGCTTGAACTGGAGTTCTTTTTGCGCTTCTTGGATGTCTTGACATCGGACCATTCACCTTGGTCGGTGTCGGCGATTTCCATGTCGCTAGTTAACATTTCAGCGTTGGGTAGAGATATGTGGGGTCCGTGGTCAAGAGCTCTAACTTCTGACAGGTTAGTGACGAAGGCTTCGTTCTCTAGCTCGGCGATAGAGGATCCGCATGTTGAAGGAGGCATGCTGTAGCGCTCAGTTCGATCGTCTGACTTGCCGTTAGCGAAGGAGTTGCGGTAGCCATGGCGAAGTCAAATCAGGGTTTATACCCCGAGCCGATCGAAAGCCACCCCTCCGACAAGCGGAGGAAGCCTTATTAATTGTTCGCTGAAGCTAGAATTGTCTAACCTGGTGATATTATAAATAGAAATAAGCTCAAACTGATGAGCCGAGAAAACCACAGACCTGTTCGAAGCGCTTCGTCTTCCTCTTTCCGGATAACAAAGAGAGCCCACGTAATATAGTCACGGCACTCGTCGCACCTTCTTCAAGTAGGTTGAGTTCAGAAAGGCACTCAATGTTGGAAGACGCTTTGTTGGCATTTTGAGAGGTCATCCTGCTCGTAGTTAGTTTCCTGCCCTGTTCTCTGCCTATCAATGTTCGCTTACAGACAGTGTTCGCGAGAGCCATAAAGTGCCGGACTTACGACAAAAAGGAAAGAAACCAAAGAAACTTCGACGTTCTGCCGAGCAGGGTCAAATATTCAACAAACAAACAAAAGTGCCTTCTTTTTGTGTACACTTCCCCTTTTCTGCTGTTTGTTGTTTTCTTGACACTGAACTCCGCATTGTTGTCGTAGGTCGTTTCCCGTTCTGCGTTGCGCCTCAGTGTGGCAATCTTTACTTCCCCTTCCGTAAAACCACCCCTTTCGCCTGATGATTTTTTTGGGGAAACTCTAGGGGGAAAAAAGGCGTTTGGAAAGACGAGGAAGAAAACCTTTATTGTACGAACTTTGGGGTGAAGAATGACTCAAATTCGGCACAAAAGCGATGTTTTCAAGAGCTCAATCGAAGTCATCGTAGCTTATCGAAGCTAGCAACAGGATTTGGTAGCTCGAAAGAATGTTCAAGTTTGCTCGTGCCACGCCCACGCCACTTCAAAGTTCACACCGAAAAAGACAGAAAATAACGGAATGTCAAAATTGTGTATTTGAGATAACTAGCAAGATATACTACAAAATGCAACTAAAATACAGTATCAAATACTCCCGATCAAAAGTATAAGCAAGATACCAAGATACTTAAAAAGTAATTAAAATACAGTATCTTGAGTAGAGAATTTGAGATAGGCACAAGTGTGGTTCTGTCTAAGTTTCATAATTTATCATTGTATGCTTATACGTCAGCCTTATTCTGTGCGCTCAATTAATTTTGCCTCTCAATATTTGTTTCTGTTTTTACTCTAAAGCACACAGAAGAAACGCAGAGAAGTCAGCTTGAGGAGAGACAATGAAGGAGGATGAACGGTGAGAAGTGGACAATCCAAAGTGCCAGGAATAGACGCGCACAAAAACGTAGCCCTACGACTGAATACCCTCAGCGATTGATTTTTAACGTTTTTATTTCAGTATTTTCTTAACGTGGTTAGACGAAACTAAAATAGGCCTCTAAAATGAGTCGGGTTTTTCAATCGTTCAGTGTGTAAACGACATCAGTCGATGTCGATGGTTTGCGTCATATATCTATCGAGTCGTTTACATGGTTTACATCTATTGAGTCGTTTACATCATATATTGATCGTAGATGACGTTTTGAAGCTGGATCAGCGCGGGAAGTACTGCGGAGGTCCTCTGGGCATCCTGGTTGGGACATCCGCTTCAGAACATTTGTCCAACATCCAACGGATGTCCGTACTCGGCTTCAGACGCACGGGTCTTGACCTTACGTCAGTCGGATATTGCTGGCCGTCCGGGATCGGGGATGCTAATATCGCTCGGTCGTCCGTAACGCCGACGGCCTTGAGTCCCGTGGGGCTCGCTCGCTCCATGGGTCCATCTTTCGACCGCCATTCCGAGCCCGCTCCTTCCTTTGCAAGCCGCGAACCAAACGACTGCGCCTCGCAGAATATTGCATGAGCCTTATGGTTTTCTACCAAGGCCCCACTTTTTTCCCCATCTGTTTTACCGCTACCCACGCAGTCGATCAAGGGTCGCTCCCAGCGAGCGAGCCCTACTCTACTCCAGTAAATTGAAGCTCCACGAGGTTGGTGGCGAAAATGTTCGATAACAGGCACAATCTCGCTCCCGAGGAGAAGAGATTGCAAGCTTCATCGAACCAGACGGCCATCCGAGCAGGCCGTGGCTGGATGGTGCAGTTTTATTCCCCCCACGCCTTTTTTTTTTTTTTTTTCTTTCTGTCTCTCTCGTTTAAGCAGCGAACTTGCTCACTGGCTGATGAGTCCCTCCAACTCCCAAGTTTGTGGGCTCGCCTTCGCGGCACACTCGGAGCAGCCAATTCACCCACACTTTTCTTATCGTGGTTCCCGCGCTCGCGTGGTCGAACCGGGCGAGTCGTAATGGTGTGGGGCTTCGGTGATTGGCGGACCATGAGCGTCGCGCACGTCTTTGTTTCCGGACGTGAGCATCAGGCGCACGGCCCCCCAAGGGCCACGCCGGCAGCTCCTTCGGTGCGGAAATCTTTTCACGGCTGTACAGGACCTCGCCGCCTCTGTTTTCGATCCTATCTTAACTACCCCTCCACGCCGGAACGTACAATAAATAACTCAATGAAAACAAAAGACTACAATGAAGAACGTCGCATCGCTGTTCCAATTAATTCCGGCGCTTCTGAGAGACTCGGAAGAGAGTTTGAGTCTTTTCGAGCGAAATGAAACGTTTTTTTCGACTGTGCACGGACTCTCACTATACTAGGGCATGTTCTTCCATTTTTTCTTGCTCTTTTTGTTTTAATAGTTTTGTATACTAATGACTTGGTCTGCGTTTATTTATCTTATTTTTGTTGGGAAATTACCTTAAAAATAAATAAGGGCTATTTAGATGTTTTTCGACCATAAGTGGTTCCATGTCGTTGCTGTGCGACGCTCGTTGAGAAGTCTCCGGACGTCCGGCACTTCTGCTCTCACCTGTTACCTCAATGCAGACCACCACTTTTCAGACCTTCGTGAGGATTAGTACGATTTAATTGAGAGAAAATAAAGACTGTCAATTGTGAAAGGTTAGGAAATAACTATACATTGCAAAATATTAATGCACTTGTTGCCAGAGTGTAGCTACTGACTTACTAAGTTTTCCGCTTGGACCTAACCACAACCAGCGTGACAAAACACACACACACACGCGCACGCACGCACGCACGCACGCACGCACACACACGCACGCACGCACGCACGCACGCACACACACACTGAGGAGCAGTGTGGCCATCGCGGTACGTACACACATACATACGCACGCACACACTTTCCAAGAACGCGTGAAAACGAGTCAAAAAAGAATATGTGACTTCCTTTTTGAACGTGAACATTCGACTGAGATCAGTTTGGTTGGGGGGAATAATTAAAGATTGGGGACGGCCAACCAAGCCCTAATTGGGAACCTTGCGTTTCGATGTCTACTCGGCTCTTCTTCGGGGGTGACTGTGGCAATGGCCACAGTCTTCTCCTCAGATCTGCTCCTCCTTTACACTCTGCTCCTCTTTCGGGGAGACTGTGTAGATGGCCACACTGCTCCTCAACGGCCATCGCCACAGTCACCCCTGAAGAAGAGCCGAGTAGGCATCGAAACGTAGTGTTCCCAACTAAGAGTTCCCTTTTTTTGTAGTACGTGGAGACAACCAATCAGGGCTAACAATAGAAGGATGCCAGCGAATAAGAAAGCTCATAATACAAGAGCGAAACGTCATGGTCAATGTCCCTGCGCACATCGCATTTTTGTCCAATTCGTATTCCGAGTTTTGTCGTTGGCTGGAATATTTTTATTGTTCGCTGTGATCGGCTGTTCCTGTGTTCTTCAGAAAGATAAACTCACAGGTTCAACAATGATGGATGCATGGATGGATGCTAACGACTGTACCCTTTATAACGGGCGGTAGCTTGCGCCACCTAGCCTAGAAATTAAAAACCGAAAGTATAATTCCTCCCTTCAGCCTTCTAAGCCAATTTGCTACTCTCTGCAATTTTGTAACTATCACCAGGCGGTGTTGGAAATCACAAAGATGACCCTTGGGGGATCGGACAAAAATACTAAAAATATCACCCCTCGCCTCTTCACCCCGGCGAAGGAGTCGTCAATTTTCCCCTGGTCAAACGTAGTCGGGCCCGCTGGGAGATGGGTTTGAGACTTTGGGCCGGAGCCACGTGAGAGGAAGTTCTGTGGCCCCGCCTGGTCCCCAGCTGTGTTTCTTGTACGTCATTCAATTATCCCTAGATAACCTCTACCTGTCTTTCAATCTCCTCTTTGTTATTAAAATGCACTTATCATCCCTTCTTCCATTCTCATCTACAAACCCCAGCGCGCCGGCTAAATCAGTCGCACCCTCCGGAGGTGTGAGAGCAAGCCCTGTGCACCTCAACACCACATGTTTTATTGTCTCGTCTTCCCCTTGGCTACGACTCACCACGTATCCATTTCCTCCTACTTTTTTCTATATGTCCTAGTCCTCAATACTCCCGTTCTAGCCTCGAATAACAACGAACTCCCCCGTGAATTATCATACAAATGTTACTTCCTTATTTCCTGTACCTAGTAAAAGCTGATTTTCCCTGCATTCTTTCCTTCCACATTTTTTTCAAAGTTTCTTTTACTTCCTTTTTCACAGAGGTAGTCTGCTCTGCCTCAGCACTTGACTGTTGGTATTTGAATTGCAGTTTTCGGGTTCGGTTTGCCCATTTAGTGTTCAGACTTTTCATAAATATGCTTATATACCTTTCTCGCCCATTGTGTATCCTCAATAGTGTCTAGTCTTTGTTAAATTTTCAACTTACTGATCGCCTCTCTAACCACGAAAGATGTCCAGACCATGTCTCCCTGCATTCCTTTTTTTGCTGTATACCCATGCGCCCCCAGTGCCTGTCTGCCCACGCTCGTCTCCCGGGTCTCTAAACTCGACTGGACCTCAGATTTCATGCATAATACTGCATTGTCAACAGATACCCCGGCACCATGACTTCTTTCCATGTTCCCCTAACAACTTCATATACATCGCACCTAATTCCAGAGTGCCTTATGCTTCATAACTGTTGTGTTCCTTTTTCTTTCCTTTGGCGCTAAGCACAGTCCGCGGGCTTACTGCGGACCGGCAGAGTGGTCCATAATGACGTCATGGTTACGTGATACGCACATTTCTCTGGTTGGAGGATCTGATTCCTAAGATTTGTCCGCCGTTTGAATGTGGCTTTAACGGACAAGGAAGAGCCAGTCCCCCGTTCGGTGGCCATGATCCAAAGGCGACTCCCGTTCTCAGTGTGGCCTTCCCGTGTTCCACCGCAGGATCCCGGGCAACGGGGACCCCGTCATTCCGCTGCTACCAGTGCAGGGTGGCCAACAACGAGGACTGCCATGAGAACTACCTGAAGACCTGTCCCTCGGACCAGGCGTACGACGTCTGCCTCACCATGGTCGTCAAGAACGGTGGGCACGCCTCAATCCATTCCCCCTGAAAAAAAAAAAAAAAAAAAAAAAAGAATAAAAATCTGGGGCTAGATAAGAGACAGAAAAATCGCGCGGGCGCCTTACCGCAACCGCTAGCCTCGTACCTGCTCCACGAATAGTAACTTTAGTGCACTACTGCGCTTCTCACGCGCTGAAAATCTTTATGAAAATGACTGATTTCGTGGTTTTCGATGACGCTCAGCAAGTTTCTAATTGGAACCATATGTATATTTTCACTAATTAAAAAGTTAATTATTAGTCGTCTGATCGGTATGATTAGCCCCCTATACTATGTCCCCCTGGCCGTATAACTCACCTGAACAAACCGTGTTAGTGCAGCTTTCACAGCTTTTTTAAGCAAATATTTTAAGCTTAAAAGAAAACCTATATATATATATATATATATATATATATATATATATATATATATATATATATATATATATATATACGTATATATATATATATATATATACGTACTTTTGGAGTTACTATGCTAGGATGTTTATTGTAATGTATATGTTACGACAGTTTCGCCGAGAGGCTCGGCTTCGTCAGGAGATGACATCAGATGACACCCTTTCCATCGCATATGTTTCGGCGCCAAAATGGCCGATTAAAGCCAAAATAAAACAGACACAGCGGACGCGATACTCCCAAGCCAATACAAACAGCCGTTCAGTTCCCCGAGTGGCCGCTGCGGAAGAAATGGCGGCGTTGCGATCGCCATTAGTTCGGTTCTTTCTCAGAGAACACTCTATGGCAGTTTCCCAACTGAGTTGTTCTAGCAACGTTGGTGCGTACTGACGGTTATTTCTACTTGCTGGTTGCCTCGAGCTACTACTTCTGCAGTGTGAAACTAACACAGCGAACCGAACGCTCGTGCAACACAAAATACCGGCATGGCCGCGAATGACGTTACGGGCAAGCTATGGTCATAGGGCGTACAGTCCTCGGATATTGCTAATATACTGCGTTCACCCTTAAGCTGAGACTGCAGCCAAAGCTACAAACGCGAGCTAGCCCGCGCTCCTGTCATTGAGACAGGCATTTCTAGTGCGAGCCCCTGTACGCTTCAAAGCAGCGACTTCTTGCTGTCGTGCTTGTGGCATTGGCTGAAGTCTCAGCTTAAAGGCGCGTTCACACCGGCGATTTGCAGCATTCGCGCGATAATTTTCATCGCAAAATCCATTATCGCTGAGAAAAAGCAACGTGTTTCGAGCAGTGGCTAGCTGACCTGACTTCTTGCGATGCGATCTAGTCGCGGAGCGGCTGAGCCAATCAGCGGCGTTCGGAGCGAGAGTTTTCAAGAGCGCAACTCGCTCATCGCGCACGACAGTGTGACTATACTTCGTTTCAGCTTCGGTCCGAGCGCGGCCGATGTTATAAGCCGAAGGGCCAATAAAAAACCACAAAACTCGCAGCGTCATGGCGTGCTCTCTGCGCTTGATAAGACTAGCCGGCGGCGGAGCACGCGCAGAGAGACGGCGAATACCGGCTGGTCCTATCAACTGCAGAGAGCACGCCATGACGTTGTGCCTCTTTCGCTGTTTGATTGCTCCTTCCGCTCATAACATCGGCCGCGCTCGGACCGAGGCTGAAACGAAGTATACTCGCATCGCGCGAGTGCTGCACATCGCCGGTGTGAACGTGCTAAATTGGGTTGTGTATATATGTTTATACAGCCTCGAACTTCGACTGCCTCAACGGGCGACGAGTCTCCCAGCTGTAGATGAGAAATTTAGCCGGTGCAGTACAACCGCTAGCCTGGGGTCTTAAACGTGCATCACGCAGTAGTGATACACGACCGCACGCCGGTACGATGCTCATCCAGGTCGAAACGGGCAGGGGTGGGGATTGAACCTATGATCCTTGGGTTCTGCAGCGCGAGCTTTCGCTCCACGTGCTCCGAGCTGGTGTGCGCTAGCCCACTCGGCCACCGATCCCCCTATGTGAACGTGGCACGTGCCTTAAGGGTGAACAGAGAATAGACGATTGCAAACTGGGCGACTGGCCGCCGCCGTGTCTCTGCTCGAGCAGGCACGCCCGTGCGATTACGAGCTTGCCAAAGCTACGTTCGCCCGCGCGTTGCACGCGCTTGCACGCATGGGGCACCACTTGTGGCGCCATGCTTGCAATTGTCTATAGCCGAGATTGTCACGCGTTAACGCCACCAAGCGACAACGCTCGCAACTAGAGTAACCTTGGCCGTGCAGGAACTCTTGATGTCACGAGCGCGATATGCATCGCGCTTCTCGCTGGCCGCCTATGAAGCGAGCGGTAGAGAGCTCGCGGTTGCGTCCTTTCGTTTCCGTACCCCTTTAAAGGGGCCATGAAATTATTCTTGCGCTGGGATAAATGATTTAAGACTGGGACTTATTGCATATAGTTTAGTGGGCTCAAGTAAAGAGAGTAGAAAGTCAAAAGCCAGCTTTTCGGTACGAACATTTCAAAATATAGCGGACTATTTCGTACCTGCTTTCCTTCCAAAACTCTCGCTTCTCACTGAGATACATCCGCGGTACCCAAACACGTCAGCCGAATCCAGCTCACGCATTGGACACGAGCAATGCGTCACTCGGACATATCCGCTCCTCAACAATCAATCGGTCGACGAATATTTGGATTCGCGTTCGTGGCCATTGAGTGTACTGACCGAACTTATCAACACTTGCGAATGGCACATTCTGGGGTGCGCTTAAAGGGGTACTCCACCGATTTTTTGAGCTACCTCAACTAACTATATTTTCTGACTCCCCGGCCTTTACTCTCTCCGGTATGCTATTCAGAATCGCGAGATTCATAATAGTTATTGCGAAATCGGCAAATGAAAATGATGCAAAAACCAACATTCAAATATACGCGCGCTTTTCAGGACCGTGACGTCAGTGGCAGGCAGGCTTGCCAGTCGAGCAAGCAGCCGAAAAATAGAATATGCCGATCATTTGCTCCGTACTGGAGCGCGGGTACTGCAGCGAGCTTCCCAAGCATTCATTTGACACCATGAAACTGCTTCGAATCAGTTTAAAACAAAATCTACAGCCCAAAGAGTGAACCCCTGCCTTCCACTGACGTCACTTTTTCACTGTTGCCAGTAGAGACTTCGAGCTTGAAAAACACGGTGAGGACCAAAACTGTAAATTCAATAACTTCGCGAAAAAACAATATTTTGACCTAATATTTGGGATACTATTTTCGCAATGTTTGTTGGTTAGTTTAGCAAAATTTCAAGCAAATCGGAGACAATGAAAAAATCGGTGGAGTAGCCCTTTAAAAAGCACATTAGAAGCTTGGAGTCATCGCCTAGGGTGCCCTAGCAGGTCCCGACCACGTGATATCTCATTTCGCTTTTGAGTTGAGGATTAAAGCTAATGAGGAAGAAGTTGAAAAATTGTTTCATGGCTCCTTTAAAACCGAGGTTATACTGCTCGTACGTCATGCAGAAGAAAGTCTGCAAACAAGAGTCACCTCTATATCCGTAGTCCGAATGCCACGTGCCAAAATTTTTCTTTGAACTCATTGCCATGCGGCATTTTTAGCACGGATGAACACGGGTAAATTTGAATTTTGGTTTTCGCATCATTTTTGCTCGCCGATTTCAGCATAACTATTCTGAATTTCACAATACTAAATAGCAGGTGATTGGTGTTCGGATGTCTATGCACACTGGCTTTTGCATGATGTATAAGCAGTGTGACCTCGGCTTAAAGAGACGGTGAACCAGCGCAGGGCGATAAGCGCAAGAACGCGAGGTTAATTCGCTTATATTTTAAAGGAGTTAGATTTGCCTGAAAATTAGCTAAACATGCACACCAACAAGCATGGCTGAACTAGTATCCCAAATATTGGGCCAAAATAATTATATTTATCACGACGTTATTGAATTTACACTTTTGGCCCTCGCCGTGTGTTTTAAAGGAAACGTCTTGCTGGCAACTATAAACATCAAAGGGGCGATGCAACAATTTTTGTACTTTGCGCAAATACCGCTTAGAACGGATCCCTGACATTAATGACGTATGAAACACGCGTTCGTTTTTCACCCCACGCAATAGAAGTCCCAGAAAAAAAATTAAAGAAAAACAAGCAGCGTTCACCCCCTCAACTCGCAGCCAGAACAAGCGGCCACGTGATCTGGAGCCGATTATATGCCGTTAATGTAGATCATAGCCACGCGCTGGGGTTGGCAAAGCACACGGCACGCGCCGAGTTCCAGATATTGTTATGGCTCGGCTATTGTCGTCGTTGCAGCGAATGGACACGGGCCACTACCCGAATGCTTCTCGAGCTAGTAATTATCACGAGCCCAAATCGATGGCCCACGCAATGCTCGGGTCCAATCTATGAACAGCATTCAAATATCATCATATGGGTGTACTGCGATCCCAACGTTACGTCATGAAATTTTGCAAAGGAGAGATTGAATGAAAATGATCGCTTTTGTCCTTGAAATTACACCGCAACAAAGGAGTTTCTTGGCCAGCGGAGTTGCGTGCGAGTATCCTTGACTCCCACTAGTGCCAGTAAGCTCGTGTATAGTGAAAAACATTCCAACCAAATATCGTTGCACAGCTCCTTTAACGTCAGGGGAAGGCTGGGGTTCACTCTTTGGACTGTAGACTTTGATTCCAACTGATTACAAGCAGCTTCATGGTGCCAAATTAATGCTTTGGAAGCTCGCTAGAGCACCCGCGTAGCAGCACGAAACAAATGGTCGGCATAGTCCATTTTTAGACTACGCGCTCGACCTGCAAACCTACCTTCCAGTGACGCCACGGCTCTGACAAGCGCGGGTAAATTTGAATATTGGTTTTGGCATCATTTTTACTTGCCGATTTCAGAATAACTATTCTGAATTTCACCATACTAAATAGCCTACCGGAGAGGGTTAAGGCCGCTGATTTCGAAATTATACTTAGTTGGGGTTGCTCACGACAATCGCCGGAGTACCCTTCAAACGTGCACGTCTGTGTTAACATGGTAAAGAAAAACTTTCAGCCGCTTCCTTTGTAACCATTTCAGCAAAGAAAAATATAAAGTGGCAGTGGCGCTAAAGCCGGTTCAGGTAAAATACACGAAGCAGGCATACAGATACGGCGTGACGTCACTATTCTGTTCGGACACTGCACGTCCCTACAGGCAGTATCGTTCATTGTTTGTGAGTAAATCCACCGGCCTTGCTCAATGGCTGTGGGGTCCTTCTCGCGCAGCGCGTGCATTTTCTCGTGCGAGCACTCGCCGTCACGTCCGAATAATCGCCGCCTCCCTGGTGCCCCGCAGCGCAACAAGGCTTCTACATCGAGAAGAAGTGCGCCCTGGGTCCGTGCAACCTGCGCGACGAGAAGCAAAGTCAGGGCCTCGGCCTGGACACGTGCGACCGCTCGAAGGACTCGTACAGCTGCTTCGAGTGCTGCAAGGGCGACGGCTGCAACACGAACGGTGGCCGGTCGCTGCCCCCGCTCTTCCGGGCGACGCTGGTCGCGGTCGCCCTGCTCGTGGCCGGGCTCGCCGGGGCCGCGTGAGCCCCCGGCGCCCGACTCCCGGCGTCCGGCTCCCGGCGCCCAGCTCCTGGCGCCCAGACCCGGGCGCCTCGCTCGCGGCACAGCAGCGCCGTGCCCCGCGACTGTCGGCCCCGGAACCCGGCGACGCTCAGCGGTCGGGAAGTCCCGGAGCTCGGCGGCCGGTCCCGCGGCTTCGCGCCGTTCCCTTCCCGTACCACAGGCGTCTGCCGGCGGTCAGGGCCTGGCCAGGTCGCTCGAGGCTGCGCGGACCCGCGCGGCCGAGCCGGGCAGCTCGTGAGGCTCGGGTTCCTGAACGGTACAAATGAGGTCCGCGAGTGAACAGAGAGTAGCTTTCAGGTCGCGGCAACAAGGAACTCCCCTCGCCTCGGCTCAGCTCCGTCGAGGCTGGGTGGCTGGATGGGCGACGCGGGCTTGGGCTTCACATCAGACGGCGCCTCGCAACGTCGGGGGTGCCTCCCTCCAAGGGGCTTCCTATTGCGACGAGGCTAGGTGGATCCTGCGAACTATTTCGGTATCATCGGGTCCTGCCGCAAAGCAAATATACCCGTGTCATTTACACCAACCGACTTTTTTGGACAGTTAAAGAAGTCCAGTTAAAAAAAAAAAAAATTATTCCGACCGCAGTGTCAATGCGAGGAACTCAGCGATTAGAGCGCTTCGCGTAAACGGCAACAGAGTGACAAACTGATAAGGGCCTTTCGTACAGATCATTCGGAAGAGCTTTGCCTTTCTAGCGGGAGCACGTGCCCTCACGTACAGCATGGATTGAGCAAGCGCCCGCAGGGCCCGCCATCCGCAGCCTGCGATCCGCGAAAAGGCCCTATTATTAGAGGTTTTTCGTAAATTGTGCACTACGGATAGCAGGGCCTTATGGGCGCATGCTTCATCCGTGCTCGAAGTGACGGCATGAGCTTCCGATAGCCTCTTGCACACGATCTACAGAAATTCCGTAGTATTCAATTATTTGCATTAAAGCAGGCACGACAGAGACCTCAGACCCCGTTCCCAGTCGTGTTAGGGAAAGCGTTGCCCAGATTTTTATAATAAACATGAGGATCTTGACAAAACTTATGCTATCGCTGAGTAACGGCTGTGTCGGTAATCATTTTTGTTTTTTTCTCTTTGTAATGTTAAGTTTAGATAAAATCCCTCTTCTTCACGAAGCGAACAAATTTTGATTGAGCCGCTGAGCTTCAAGCTTGCCATTTACCCCCATTTACAGAAATGAAGTTACAAGAACAGAGCAGGTACTCGATTTTTTATAGAGTCCGAACGGCATTCTATATTTCTTTCGTCCTTAAGCTGAGATTATAGTCCGCTGCAACTCAAGAAGGTAGAACGAGAGTAAGACTGGCCGGGGAGGAGGAAACAGACGGGACGCTGGAGAAGAGAGGGGGAGACCTCTTTCTCTTTTTAGCCTTCCGTCTGCTTCCTCCTCCCCGGCCCGTCTTACCCTCGCCTACCTTCTTGAGCTGTAACGGAAGCTCCGCCTTCAGCGCGAGCTTTCTCCCCTTGCTACCGCAAATGTGAACGCGCAGGCACGCGCAACCAAAGCACTGCGGAAGCCAGCGTGCTCGCGCTGAAGGCGTTCCTCTGCACAACAGTAAAGGTATGTCCAAGTAGTATCACCCAGTTTGTAGATCGGAGCTGTGCACACTGATCTAGCTGCGGCGACGTCAGCGTGCACTCGCAAGCTGTACCAGGCGGCGCAGAAGGTCGACCGTTCTCGGATGTTAAAAATGTCAGGTCTTCCACTTTCCTCTAGAGCACTCAGAAATCCAATCACCGTGACCTATGAATCGAAAGTTCGACGAATGACAAGGCCAAAGAAACGCGTCGACCTAAACGGTAAACCTGAAGTCACCGATAGGACGCCCTGCACGACCTTTCATCTGCTCACGCCATGCTCGATGTCACATTCCAGATTTCGTTGTTTGGTCCACGTGTTTCTTCGGCCCTTTCTTTCGCCGAGCTTTCTCCATAGGTCACAGTAATTTGTTCTCTTGGTGCTCAGGGGAAAATAGAAGGATATCATGATATCAAGATATCTTGAGATATCTGAGATATGAAGGCAGAACGTTTCATATAGAAGGACGGGCATTTCTTAGAGAGCAGAGATACGAAGGCAGAACGTTTCATGTCTTGATTTTTTTTTATCTATATATATTTCAATCCTGTAGATGTATTCAAATTAAAATACGCTCGCACGAATCGAACACACAAACAAAAACAACAAATGAATGTTCATTGCCACTGAGCTGCCACAAGGAGTATCGCATAGGATTCAACAGCACGTTAGGGTAGCGATTTCCAGTTACTCCCATCGCTCACGTTTATTGCCTTTGGATCCACCTTCGCCTCGTCGAGGGTAGCTTTTTATCTTTGCAAGCCACGTTTGTAAGTGGCGTTCTATGCTTCATAACTGCAATCACGGTTGATTGCGATAAAATAAAGAATTACCAGAAGGATCCCGACTTTTTACGTCAGCGTAAGGAAACCACGAGGACCCGTGGTACCAGTATAAATGTCAGCAAGTTATTTTCTTCCCAAATTCCGCTCGGAACCATGTTATAATTGCGCTTCCCAGGATACATTAGACACAGCGTACATTATCTAGGATTTGGCTGCCGGTACGTTGTTCGAAGTACCACGGTGTCTGTCCCATATTCCATATGAGGAGCCTGTCGGAGCGCGAGTGCTTGTCGCTCAGAATTTGTGCAGAAAATCGTATAGCACCTCATAAAAAAGATGGTGCGTTTTCTTTCGAAGGAGAGTTCGCTTGAGCTTTTACCTAGCCAGGTATAAGCAGCCGCCCCAAGAAATTACCTCCGTAGATACAGACTTCCCTCGAATTGCACTCTTGAAAGGAGTTGAGCGCACGCGGGCCTTCTCAACGCGCGCATCGCATCGATCCGGGGCACAAGTCACGATTATGGCAAAGCGCCACGGAAAGAACTCGGAGCTAATTTGGCGTTTCCTCGATCAGCAGCTGTTGGGCTCAACTCGGAAGCGTTCATTACGCTGGGGCTTGAACTCGGGAAGCCTCAAATAACGTCCGATTTGTTCATTCCGCGAAATTAACGATCCCCCTCCACCGCAAAAGTGCTCCGTGCTTGATTTTGATCGCATGCGGACCCGGTTATCGTGTCTCGCGATGGCGCATTGAGGCCCATTGTTCTCGGTCCTCGGGGATGCGGCGCTCGTTTTGATGCTTATACAGCCTCATCGTTCGGCTCCTTCTCTTCGCCATGCGACGCTCCCGGCTGGAGACTGCCGCTGACTCTGTCGCATGTGTTTCGTTAGCGATCATGTGGTACGCGAAGCATCACAAATTACATTGCCTCTTTCACCATCCCACGGTTGTGCTACAGCCTGTCTCGATCACCCCTCATAATCATGAGTTCTGCGAATGACGCGAAGACGCCTTGTCCTCTCCGTGCCCGGTGGTTTTGATTATGAAGTTGGTTCCAGCGAGTGCCCGGCGTTCGGGTGCTAGACCGCCTGTGCTGCAGTCTCGAGCACTCGTTGTCTTGTAGTGTGAACGATGTGAACTTCCTGTGTGACTCTGTGAACATCCGAACCGACCCGATACAGAAGCCCAGTGTACGGTACGATGTGTTGTCTGCCTCCGAAGAATCCACGAACGCGCCTGGACCTGAGCACTGCGGATGTATGTATATACACTTAGAAGCGCGGAACAGTCTGCCTCACAAAGTGTCATTTTCTCGCTCATACTGATACTCAACTTAAGTGTCGCTCTTCCTGCGCTTTTGTTTTTGCTTTTTTTCTTCTTGTTTTTAGGCTGATATTATTTTGGTACCTGTCTGTGTGTCAGCATTACAGTGTCACTGGAAATAATTTGACAACTGTAGATCAAACTGTGTGCAGCGACTAATCTAGCGATGGTGGCTCTTTACCTATCGAACATCACGGTATTCTTACGTACGGCTCATGAAAGCCCACCCACATGAATTTCCTCGAATTGTTAAAGCAACGCACGAAGAAAGCTCTTTACTTTCGAAGTTCAGAGCTCTCCCTACTCAAACACCTCTAGAGCTTTAGAAATCACTCCTTACTGGCGGAGTCAGGACACTCGTTCTTGTTCAATGATTGGGAGCGTCCAGATTTTGGCTTTGCGTGTTAGTGCCAAGTAAGTCTCCGCTAACAAATACAGCACTAAATTACATTCTTAATCTTTTTAAGTGGGTTTACAGGAGAACTTTATAAACGTGACATGCCCTCTTTAAAAAAATGAGCTTCGAACAAACGGAAATAGAGAAAGGACATCGCTCGGTCGGGTGATTCTTCCAATTAACTTGTTCCTGCCCCAGCGCACATGTTATTTCCAAAAAGGTTCACCCGATTTCTTGGAAGTGGCGCGAGCGAGCTAGCCGACATCTAGACATTGCGTACAGCTCAACAGCTGCGCTGTACGTACTTCAGAGTCCATCGGGAGCACTTTCACCGATATCAGAGTTCCTCTAGACGGTGTGCATGTAAAGAGCAGAGCTTCTCTACCCTGTTATACGCACTCTGTCTACACTTTATCGCCTGCGTACTTCCTTTCCTTTACCACTCCTACCTTCGCGCATCTACCCTGTTGGGTAAACAACGGGGCCCGGCTTATTTATTAGACGTGTATCGAAACGGTGGGAAAGAGCTCTTCGCACGCCGATCACATGTCAGACACGTTGAGTAACGAGGCAGATTCACGTACTACAAAAAAATAAAAATAAAAGTCTCAGTACATCTGTATTTGAACAGCTTTAGAGAGAACTTAGTGGACGAGGCCCAAGTTTTGTTTTTGTTTTAAATGTACAAACTGCGGTGATACGCAACACGCCATGCTCGGTGTCCCAGCCCAGATGGAGTTTCTGGGTTTTGATGATGCTCTCTGTGGACTCTCTAAAAAAATGCTGTGTACGTTTATTTTTCCGCGGAGCATTAGAAGAGTCAGTGACTTTAATCAACAGAGGAGCTGCGGGGGATAAAGGCTGGAC